GTCCCTGTATTTTCCTAATCCCTCCGCTTCCCGCTGGCTACACCACATCTTAGACTGATGCGAACAGAGGCGAAGGGTTTGTGGTGAGATTGGCTTCGTGTCCGCTCGCCGTCCCTCGTTTGGGCTTGTATTTGGTTTTACTTGCATTTTTTTTGCTTCTGCTTCTGCTTTCTTGAACGAGGAGAATTTTTGCAACGCGTTGAGTTTGCATATAAAAACAGAGCACCCCAAAAGAAGTCATGAACTGACTATAACTGATCATAATCGAGACTGATCATTATTGGGACACATTTTATAAAAATCAGTAGTCCCAAATAAACTTTACGAGATATGCGCTGCCATGGAAAGTAGATAGGAAAGCCAAAATAATTATAAAAGTAATGGCTGAAACATTCTCCGTGGGGAAAAAAATCTTACAATGTGTCATTGCCCTATACAAAATAGCGTGGAAGCTTTTTATTTCGGGCCAATTTCTGCTCGTATGACAGAAATGTGTCATCCTTTTGAAGTGCATGGCAAATAGGGCTCCTCGTATGATCAAAATCAAGACTTTGCCCCAAAATTCTCAGGGGAGAGGGAAGACTTCTTCTCCCTACAGCTCCCATGATTTCAATGGTCTTTCTGAGCTTGGAACAGGAGTAACTGTGACCCGTAATATTTTATGACATATAAACCATAAAAGAATAATGTTAACAGTGAAAGCCGGCCAAGTAGTGTTCCTGGGGTAGAAAAGGAATGTTTGTCTTGAAAGGGGAGAAAGGGAAAAAGGAAGGAGAAATTCAGAAAAAGTGAGAGAGGAATACACAAATAAAGACCGAAGGAACGAAAAACGAAGGAAAGAAGAAAGCAATTTTTTAAAGTAAAGAAAGAAATGTAAAACACTATTCTAGTGCTATTTGTTCATATATACATTCAATTATTCATTTTAATGAGTTCTGTATTCCCTTTTTGTGGTTACCAATTTACTGCGATCTCAAAAAGCTAATTGCTCGGGGAAAAACAAACAAGACATCTCTGTCCCAAGCGTGCGCAGAAAAAGAATATTCTGAAACCTTTATTTTCCCCAAAAAAAAAATGACACCCCCCCCTCCGAGGAG